ACTTTTTGTAAATTTAAAATTAAGAAATTCATGTCAAATATAGTAAAATGATTAATAAAAGTCTAAAGGGAATACAATATATAAGAATGAATATACCGGTAAATAAAACTGCAAACCATATAAACTTGAAAAATTGGTCAAATTTCTAAAACACACAGAATTATGGCTTTTATTGGATTAGTAGTGTCTTAAAAATGTAATATTTCATTACAAGAATATAATTCTAGAAATTTAGACAAATTTAAAAATTGAAATTCATTAAATAATTAATTTTTGCCTTTAAACTATTGAATAAAAATTAAAATTGTATTCTCAAAATATGCATAATAATCAAACGGATGTTTGAATTGAATGAGTAAAACTAATTTTATAAAATAATGAAACAACAAAAACAAAAACAATGTTAAAAATTAGAGATCATTAATAGGGAGTATACAGCAATACTGTACTGTACAATTTAGTAATTTAATTATAATAAATATAATTAAATGCGATTATAGTTATAGAGAAATGTATAATGAGTAGTGAGAGTGAGAGAGATGTGCGGAACTGATTTTAAAACGCTTTTTATAGAAAGCGATAAAATGCAACCCATTATGGCCTCAACAATCACTTCACTTGAATTTTTGTTACAAATATATTATCAAATTAATTCATTACTGTATAGAAATGTCTGATAGAAAAGAAAACAAAGAATTTCAATCAAATGTTAAGTAAGAATTGGTTAGAATTGGGGTTTTATAAAGTTATTTGACGGTAGATACAGTCAACTATTGTATTGCAATCCTTGTTGCAGTCGATTGCATATACAGTACTGTACTAAATGCTATATTTTTACTGTATTTTAATGTCATACAGTATATTATAATGTTATGTAATGTTATTATAATTATTAAGTAAAAAATTATTGGTTTTATGTATTGATTTGAATGAAATGCATTTTCATTACACCGTTAGTTCAATACAGTATAATATTATGTTGTGTTATATTAAATGTGGGCTGAATTGAGGGCTCACTCGTCGTGTTTAGAAACAGTTAGTGAATGATTGATGCGATAAAACTAAACATACAATTATTTACAAAAGTCTACTCAAAATTGGTCTGACAGTCGGTTTAAATTTAAATTACTTATAAAATAATCATGGCAACAAAATGAGTATTTTTAAATCTAACCAAATTATAAAAAGCACAATAATTTTATGAATAAAGTGCACAAATAGTTTTCTATAAATTGAATTTTGTGTAAAATATAAATTCATAAGTTTTTACGTAACTGTCAGTTAAGACCGCGATTAGTTATTTGAATGAAATAAGCGTTTTGTTGTTAAAATGTTTTAGAAATAAAATTAGAACAAAAAAATAAGAAATGTTTTGATTGAATCAAATCCTAAACTATAATCACTATTAAGCTTAGATTTGTTACTTAAAGCAAATTATAGAATAAAGTATTGAATCATTGAATCATTGCTTCACTTTCTTTACTGTTTTTGGTGATCCGGAACAGACAGACAGAGACATTGCCGACGATTTTGGTTTAGTTGTTTTGTTACAAACCTTTCTATTCTTTCGACACATTTTTCTCGATTTTTTACTGAAAGGATATTTAGGAGGAATGGAAGGTTTGACTGTTTTGCTGGATTTGCTGCATAAGACTCTGTTAGTCTGCGTCCGTTTGGGTCTTTTACACGACAAGCTGCCAGACTGTCACCGAACCAATGGCTTCGACACACCAATCGATTGCATACCAGTTGCTGAGTTTGGCCTAAAACACAATCACATCCAATATTTATTGAGTTTAATGCAAAAATACAAAATTAATCAAAAGTTTGCATTATGTATACTAATAGTGCATAGGTATGGAAGAAAATCTCACATATTATTGTTGTTTGAAAGCAAATTCAAATTGATATCAGATTTGTTATCAATAGTGACTTTAGTATTAATGTTTGCGGTGTTATGATTAGCAGAGTTTGAAGTTTTGTTAAGTATTTTATGAGTGAGAGGAGAGTTAGACCGCGTCCGGATTCGTCTGAAGTACGAGTAATTCGAGACATTCATAGAACCAGAATTGGGTTTAGAGTTAATGTCAGAGTTAGAGGTAGAAGTAGAAGCAGAAGTAGAGGCAGAGTCTAAGATAATCTCTTGAACGGGTACTACATGTATGGGAACGACAATGTGTCGCCAAACGCCACTGCAGTAGATGTAGTAATAAATTTAGTGTGTATTCAGATATTTAAGCCAACAATTTAAAGTGAGAATATTAGTCTTATATAATATCTAAATTAAAAAATATATAATTATCTTACGTTTTGGTGTTCAAAGGCAAGTGACTCTTTGTTTTACTTAAGTCACGATTAATTTGCTTCAAATATTTAACGCTTGTAATGGTTGTGTCATCGGTTTGGTTGTCGTCCGTTTGGTCTTCAATGGCAACTGTTTTGCCTCTTCTGATGGCAGATCTTGTATTATATATGGAAACAGTTGTGCTCTTTATTGGAGACTTGAGTGACAGTGACTTTAGGGGAGAAATATAAATATCCTCTTTTGGCTGAGAAGTGGACCGTCGGTGTGCACGCATGTCGTCATCCAATTTAACAGTCACTGATGGAGTGGTAGCCGTAGTGGCAGACCTGGCGTTCCTGCGCTGGGCTTTGATTCTGTTGAGTTGGTCTCCCTGTGTCTCCAACTCCTCGTTCGCAGAGTTATTCAAATTAGTGGTGCATTTGCGTGGTTTGCGACCCCTGTCGTTGGTCTCACACTTCGGTGAGTCGTCACTCAGATATAGAGACTTGACTTCACCGGCGATAACATTCAGTGCATTGTTATCGTTGTCCAGAATGTGACACTTGACGAGAGAGCCTTCACTGACATTCTTATTGATTATGTCATCGTCATTGTTGTTATTCATAATATTCTGTATTTTATTCGAGTTTTTATTTCGATGAATATCTCCCTGAAGCCAGAGATAGGTTTCCTTCCTGTCAATGCAAACACGAAATGAAAACAAATACTATTTGACACTTAAGGCAGACATACTCTTGAAGCCAGTGCTGTTGAAAGCCTATGATAGAGCCGGGTCTACAGATCCTTATCCAGGCAATGGCCTCTGCGGCCGTAAACTTATAGTGTTTCAAAATACTATTTGACACTTAAGGCAGACATACTCTTGAAGCCAGTGCTGTTGAAAGCCTATGATAGAGCCGGGTCTACAGATCCTTATCCAGGCAATGGCTTCTGCGGCCGTAAACTTATAGTGTTTCATAATCCAACAGGCAATCAGTGTCCCGGTTCGACCCAAACCCGCCTTACAATGTACGGCAACGGCTCCGTTAGTATTTTCACAGATTTCGAGAAACTCTCTCATAATGGCATCGCTTGGAGTACTTCCGTCGATGAAGAAGAGGTCCCTGTGATCGAAGCCATTGTCGATGAATCGGTTGGCGTCGTAAAGCTTTTTATTGAGTCTTATAATTGTTGTGACATTATGTTTGCGAAAGTAAGTGAAGTAAGATTCGGGAGAATGCAATGCATAGCCGTTCTCGACCACAGACTTGGAGTGCGGACCACAAAATGCTATGAATTTGTTGGGAACTATCCAATTGAGGTCTCCGTTCTCCACTTTCTACTCATTACAACCACATTCACATACATTTCAATCATTCATTTGAAACCAAATTCAATTCAAACAAACCTCAAAGTACTGGTACTCTTCAATATTAAAGTGAGTGAAGTCTAAAAACTTGTGTTTCATAGCCTGAAATCAAAGTCACGCTTAATATTTGATCCAAATTGGAAATATAATCCATGATTTACTTTAGAAATGGCTTTAAAGCAGTCAATTATATACAAGTGATAATTGCATGGACCAAACGCCGCATCTCTAAAAGGTAGGAAATGGGGCCCATTGTTGGCCATTAAC